ATGCTCCATCACATGTTTCTATTACAGGGTGAATCTTAAACTGAAGCTTGACTTTAAAGCAACCCAACGGAAGTTTCATGTAAGTTTAGTTCTTTCACTCGTAGCTCGGGCTGCGGGGGTGCTAGAGACGGGAGCACGTTGATGCGACCTTGCTAGCCGGAGATATGGCCGCATTTTACAATAAACTTCCGTCGGGTGGCTTAAAAACAAATATCGCAAATCGCAATCGCAATATCTGTCAGAAAAATCGCAATTAGATTTTTTCCCAAAATCGTGCAGCCCTACACTGTGCACACAATTACAGATATAGTATCAATAACTAGTCAAGTCCGCCTTGACACAGCAGTTTCTATTCTATGACAACATAGCAGAAAATGCTACTAATTGCAAAGCCTTTATTTGGCATTGCCACCACTTGTAAGGTAAAATGAATTATGAATTCAAGTAAAACATGAAGGAAGATCTGGGGCAGATATACGAGGCATTATCAATATAAATGCAATTTAGAAAGGAAGAAGTTGGAAACCGGGAGATTTTAAAGACCTATTTAATACATACCTTGTTCCGAAGCCCCCCCTGGTCCCTGTGGGGGAGTCGAGGCTTTCTCCTGGCTTGGCTGGCCTGTCGCGATTCATTTGCTGCAGGATGGAGCTCAGCTCGGTGATGACGGTGTTCTTGGAGTCTGGTGTTGATGGGGGACTGCGCAGCTCTGGCGGCTGATCGCCCCACAGCTTGGATGTCCTTTGAGTAGGAGTCCTAGGAGGTTCAGAGGATGAAGGAGGAGGGGGAGGGTCCTGAGGCGGGGATCCATAGGACTCCGGGGGCTCTTCAATGAGAGCGTCATGATAAAGCGATGTTCTGTTGATGACGGACTTGCCCTTGGGTTTGGGGGGAACAGGGGGCCGGTCCACCAGGAAGGCGTGTCCGTCTGCGGTGGCGTAGAGGCTCTCCAGAGCGCTGTCGCAGAAGCCCCCCTCTGACGACAGGGTGGAGATGCTGGAAACGGTGCTGGTTGTCTCCATGTGCTGAGGATCCCCGCTACTGCGGCTGTCTACCTCCTCGATGCCCGAGTCACCCACCCCTGACTCCAAATCCGGTGGAGGGGGAGGATATGAGGGTGGCATGTTGTTTGCAACCCGTTTGTGTTGCTCGGTGACAGGTGGCGGGGCGTGAGGGTGGTACGGTGGTAGAATAGGACCCCCATTTCGTCTCTGTTGCTGAATCATCTCTGCAATGGCACTCGCCTGATCATCAGGAATGTCGATACTGTTGGCAAACTCCAGCGGTGGTGGGAGGGGATCCGAGAATTCAAATTCCTCATCGATGTCAACTGATGCAAGAGGGGGTGGTGGGATGCGGAAGGGCAGTTTTACCGGTTCGTCAATGGACTCATTCAAGGGCATGCTCCTCCTCCTTAATGAGGTTGGTTGGGGATTGGGGGACAGTGACGAAGAGTTGTGAGGATCCGGTTGGTTGGGGTCCTTCAGCTCCGATGGCCTGTTGCTGTCCTGCCCCTCCACCTCTTGGTTGTTTCCCTTGTTGCTTGCTTCGTTGCTGGTGTGGACCATCAACAGTCCAGTTAACTGCTGTGATAAATCCGACACATCCGCTGGCGCACTTTTCCTCTCCTCAACTGCCTGATGCTTTCGTTCTTCCCGTGCCCCATCAGACTCATACTTCTGCTCCGTCATTTGTCTCCGCAGACCGCCTCGACTAGGCCGCCCCATGGTTGCTGATGAGATTGCGGCAAAACTTGTCTCGATCCCCGAGCGTAGTTTGGTGTCAATAAACAGCGGTTGATTGAGGTCTGGTTTGTGGCTTGGCTGACTTGGGAGGGACTGGGCTTCGTGTTTAGGCGTTTGCTGAACCTGAGGAGGATTTGTTGGCTGATTCTGAGGATGGTTCTGTTGCTCCTTCATCGCCCGGTCACGAGCTGCCAGGGCCAAAGCAAGAGGGGAATTAGGATCCAGGGGTTTGCCTGTAACAGGATGGAGGTAAGTCCCGTTTGACCTGTAGTGGCTCTTAGGAGGTGTGGATGGGAGACTAACGGGACTGTCCAGGTTGGGACACTGGCCTGTTCTGGTGTTTAGAGGCTCCCGAACCACTGTGGGCTCAGGAGAGTTGAAATCTGTCATGTTGCCACTACCTCCCCCGACAGGACGACCAAGCTGTGCAGGGGGACCCAATATCCTTCGAAGCCTCTCATCGCTAAACATGCCTTCATCGATGGACTTAGAATGGCGAAGACGAGGGGTCGGTGTAGGACTACCGAAGTCATCATCCCCAATATCTATTGACTGGAAGGCGATTGAGTGCTTTTTTGCCTCTAGCCTCTTCTCCCGGTCCCTTACTGCCCCAGCAATAGCTGCGGCAAAGGGGTTGCCTAAAGACGGGTCTTCGGGACGCAAACCACCAACAGGCATGAGAGGAGGGTGTTCGGGGGTGGTGGGCTCGATCTCCATACTGCTACCCTGGCTGCTCTTGCCACTGCTGCTGGTGGAGGGCTCCTTGATGATGATGGTAGGGATGGGGATGGAGGAGCAAGTTCGTTCTACAGGCGTAGTAGGCATGGAAACCGCGCCCGATGGGTTTGATGACATGTGACTCTTTTTCTCCGGACTATCCTCAACGTTGTGCTGTTTTACAAGCATGCCCTTCCTTCGAGCTGGTTTGGCTGGCACGTACAGGTTCCTATTGCCCACCTCGGAGTAAGGGTTCTCCGGTACTGGAGCGCGCCCTCGAATGCGCGAGTCAAACTGCTCAGAGCTCTGCCGGTAATAGCCGCGCCGTAACGTACCGGCGTCGGTGTTTCGGCTAATGGTCTTCACCACATTGGCTGAGTTCTGGGTGAAGCTGGGTCGTGTGGTGCCGTAGCTCTTGGGTGTTGGACCAGAGTTGAAGTCAGGTGGAGAAGGGGGTGAAATGGCTGGGGGAGGAGGGATGTCCTCTGAGGTGTCGGGCATGGAGAGGCTGCGGGCAAACTTGAGTAAGGGAGGCGTGAGGAATCCATGTTTGTCGTCCTCCGATGTACCTTGGAGAAATAGAGCAGAAGGAACAATGATGTGAGGACCTGGGGGTGACATCCCTATGTTTTATTTCCAGCATGGCTTCTGTTTGACGCAGTCAATGTCACATTTATTGATGGCAGCTCTTTCTTAATCTTTTCCTGAGTTTTATGAGACAAGATAAATGAATAGTAGCTGAATATAAAATGTTTTCGGCAGCAAGCAGGAATTTACTGGTGAGTTACTTTTGGCATTTACCCAAAACCACCACGTGAGATTTAGACAAAAACAAACATTTATATTGAAGGCCAATTTGATTTTAAATATATACAGAAGAGCAGAAGTGGATTACTTAAGGTAGCTGAGTCAATTAAAATATCGAATTATTTCATTTAATAGACAAAAAGGCGTGGACAAAGCTACATCCAGTTTAATTTGTTGTCACTTAGTCAATAGAGTGCTGCAGTGACGCGTCCTAAAACCCGGAAGATCATAAATCTATCGATTAGATTTATGATTAGAAAATTATAAAAGTATTGCATTGCTTTTTTGTCGAGGGAACCGGAAGAAGCTTACTTCCGGGTTTTAGGACGCGTCACCGCACCACTCTATAAGTGACACACACGGCAATTTCAACACAAAAAGATCCACATTTTTTGCTACAATAATGATGGCATTGCAATTAAAAAGCGCCGTGAGTAACATTAGGCTGCACGGCGTCCCTTTGGTTCAGCAGTGAGAATGAGGTTTCAGCACATGTTTAATGACCTCAAATATTATCTCCTGAAAGCACACTTTGCTGACTGGATCCTTCTAATTTATCTATAATTAACTTGCATATTGCTTGAGCACACCGAGCGAGCCCTCTGAGCATTAATAGAATATTAGGACATGCTAAATCGCTGGACATGAGCTTCACAACGCTAACACTCACGCCTTCACACACATTTACTGTAAAAACATCATACCTATGGACTTCTGCTTTTTCAAAGTGCTCTTCTCAGGTAGCCCCAGGAAAGCCCCCGGCACAGTGGGTGGCACCACTGCTACTCCCTGGCGGTCATGATATAATGACTGCAAACAAGAATATTGTTAATGATATACCAATAAATACACATTCTTCATTATATATCTGCTGGGTGTGGACACAAACACAAGTTTCGGATATATTTGTTAGTAAAAACTTATTAGCTGTAGAACAAACTGAAGTCAAATAGATTCACAAACATTTATTTTCCCAAGAAGGACTTTGTTTGACCTTCGTTGTCCTTGTTTCATGCTGATCGTAAAAAGACAGCCTTCACACAACATTAATAATAATTTCTGATCAGACGTGTTATTTAAATGTTCGTGTTACGTCAAAAGGCGTTTCCATTATTCTTTTAGCGCCAAATCCTTTTCAGACGAAGGCAAAACAACCTTATTTAGCTGCAAAACCTAAAAACCAAAAATATTTCGGACGTTTTTACGAATGCTGGCGTTCCCATTCGTTTTTCAAATACAATGCTTTAATACAAATCAGTGAAACTAAGTTATTTATTTAAAGTATTTTTTGATGTCACCTGCGCTTTGATCACCTACATTGATATCAGCTGCTGTCACCAAACAGCGACTGGATGGCCGTGGTTTGATGGTGGCGATCTTCATATCGACAGGCGACGTCTTCTGGGCGTGCGTCATCTCTTCAACTTTGTCTGCAAAATACAAAGTGAGCCGTAATTAATGAGCAACAAAAAAACAAAAGACAAGGGCGGGATTGAACTTGTAAAGCCAAACGCAAGCTTGTCATTCACAGTGACCCGTCCCTGCGGATGAGACTGAAAAAAAAAAAAAAAGGGCAGGAGGACTTTGATGAAATGTCTCGGGTGTGTCAAGCCTTGCAAGCCGTGCAAGCTCTTTCCAAACAGCCGACTCAGCAGTATCATCCAACTCTCAGGGTCGTTCCCTCATTAAATGTGAAAATGAAAATGAGCTCTGTCAAGTTTGCCTTTATCTTTCCCAGTTGTATTTCTTTATATTTCGCGCCTGCAACGTGGGAAACCAGCAAATTTGGTAGCAGTGAACTTCCCTCTGGTGTGATGATGCGGTCAAATACAGAAGAGTACGGTGGCCGACAGGTGCAAACACATTATGACGGCCAACATACATCCGTTAGTAGAAACGTGCTGCAGTATCAAAAACTGATGGAATTATTAAAACACAAATGTGCCAAAACACATGCAAATACAAAAATATCATCATCAACCTGAAGAAACATGCGCAGCGTTTACTAAAAGCTCTGCACACAAACACTACAAATACAGAACGTTGCTCGATTGGCGCATGTGTTGTCAAGTTGGTGAAGATGTTTATTTGTTTGCATGTGTTTTTGCACATTTGTGTGTTTTTATTTGCATTGTTTCTGAAACTGCAGCTTGTTTCTCCTATTAGAAGTGTTTTGGTGGCCGTTGCAGCACGTTTGTACTTGTCGCCCACCGTAGGTCGAGTCCACCCAAAAGGTTTTAGCTCAGAGAAGCTACATGCTAGCCCTGCTAGCCTCTTTCTGTGCGACCTCATTGGTTAGCTGTGTCTAGGATGTGGAAAAGCTTCCATGCATTAGTGGGGGGGAGATTACTTAGAGTGACTTGGAAAACAATCCTCTTCTTCTGCGTATCTACTCACAGAGGAGAGGAGTGGGGAGGGGAGGAAACGGGGAGGAAAGGAGCGTCAATGACCTTAAAGACAGTTATGCCAAAACAAAGAAACACACACACACAGAAACACACACACACATAACAGGAAAAAAAAATGCACATTTCCTCGCTCTTCCAAATGGATCGCTGCTACACTGTTGCCCTGGAAACCTATCTGTGAGTGAGACATTTCCTGGAATAAACCTCCTCTTCCTCCTCCTCCTCCTCCTCCTCACACACACACACACACACACACACACACACACACACACACACACACACACACACACACACACACACACACACAGTGTTTGGAATTCTCGTTAGGGGTCTGTTGTTATGATTAATTGTGATTAAAGCTTGATATTCTTCCAAACATTAACCAATGTGCTGCTGCGAACAAATCATTTTTTTTAAAAGTGTGTCAAAAAAATAATCTGTGATTGTGAAGGAGCAGAGGAGATTAAACATATTTGTACTCGACGTAAAATAACAATAACCCATGCAACAACAACATTTATAACACAATGAAGACATCAGTAGTGACACATTATACATCATGCAAACGACATTGGGATTGAAAGTCAGACACATCAAATTCTTATCAACATATTTTTAATAATGAATTAGAACAGTTGATAAAAGTGAAGGGAGGAAGGCGTGTACATAAATCAATAATTTGAAATATTGGGAGATATCGTAAACATGCCTACAGACACTTACCACCTTTCTTTTTCCTTAGAGTGGCTTAGAGGGCGACAGAAACATATTTCTAAATCTTAAAAGCAGCAAAACAGATTCCTCCCTTTTCACAAAATGAACAACGATGTACCAGCTTTGTTTTGAGGAGCCCAAATCTTCAGGTTTCATATCAGTATGTAGTGTCTCTAATTTAAAGAGTCCTCTCCTGCTGATGTTCAGGTGTATATCAGTATGTAGTGTCTCTACTTTAAAGAGTCCTCTCCTGCTGATGTTCAGGTGTATATCAGTATGTAGTGTCTCTACTTTAAAGAGTCCTCTCCTGCTGATGTTCAGGTGTATATCAGTATGTAGTGTCTCTACTTTAAAGAGTCCTCTCCTGCTGATGTTCAGGTGTATATCAGTATGTAGTGTCTCTACTTTAAAGAGTCCTCTCCTGCTGATGTTCAGGTGTATATCAGTATGTAGTGTCTCTACTTTAAANGATATCATTATATATGATATATCAGGCTTTACACAGAAACAAAAGTCGACTTGTAAGGTTGTCCGTTATTTGCAAAGACTTCGACAATTTGTTTTGTCTTTGTATCAGGCCTACACTCGTCTCCACAATCGTCCGCAATTTTCAGATAGTCTTACGGTCTGTTCGTCAACGGTTTTGTACTTTCTCGTAACAAAATTGAGCTGAATCTGGTGAGGTTTGTCAGTTTGTTTTAGGACACACTGCTCCACATTCACTCTCGCAAGTAGTCCGGTTTATGTTTTGCCTTGCGTTATTTGTATTACGCACCATAAAATCGCACAAATCTTCCCAAAGGCTACCTGACTTCTCGTAATACGTCGACCACGAACACTTTAACGGTCTGGACCCCGAAACAACCTATTCATACGGTCATTCGGCGTTCCGTCATAGTTCGTCCTCTCTCTGGACTTATACAACGTTACTATCGTAATCGTTCACGAAATACTTGCTGCGGCTCATTATTAGGAGACTATCGGAGAACTAGCCAGAGCAATCGTTCGTACGTTCAGATTTACGTTTGAAATCGGAAGTACAAATATAAGTAACAGATTGGTCTCTATAAAGTATCGTGGCAATGACTTATTCAGGAAGTATGGCTGTTGTACTAATTAGAGTTCGGTCCGACCGCTTCTTCCCATGAGACTTTATTATTCAGTGGGGACATTTTGCGTGTAATTCTATATATATATATATATATATATAGTCCATCAGGGCTAGTCCTCAAAGCTAACAAGTGGACTTTACAATGGACTATAGTTTTCTTTTAAATATTTACTTATTCTTCTATCAACTGTTTGAGGCTCATTTAAAGTGCTGCTGCTTTGTTGGAATTAAAGAGGCCTAATTAAGCTACTTTTCAGGTTCATATTAGTATTTTGTGCTTTACCCTTTCCTGGAGTGTGTTATATAGGTGTTTGTGCATGTAAATGGTCTGCAAAGGCTAGAATCCCCGGGTTCCCTCCAGACGGAGTTTCTCTCACCCCCCTGCCTGAAAAGTCTCCATGTCACAGAAGAGACACTAAATACAAATATGAATGTACGAGCATGACCATACTTGCCAACCTTGAGACCTCAGAAATCGGGAGCATTTCTAATTAACATGCTTATTGTAGTTGTAAGTGCACTGCCTTGCGGCCTGTAGCACCATCCTTGATGGAGCATATGTGTGGGCTGGACCTGTATTTTACAGGAAAGGAGTGAGCAGAGGGTAGAATTGTCGATTCTTGTTCTGTTTGCTGTGACTATCTTCATCACCCTCAACCAAACAATGGTGTAGCTGTATTAAAGTCCGAGTGGAAACAGTCCTGAGTAAATCTGATTTTGTCAGAAATCGGAAGAAATGCGGGAGAAATATGACCCCGGGAGGAAACCGGGAGAGGGCTATGAAATCGGGAGTCTCCCGCGAAAATTGGGAGGGTTGGCAAGTATGAGCATGACATGTCCTCTTTAATTCCAACAAAAGTTGGAAGCTTTTTGTAGAGAACCGAGAAAAGTCTCTTGCTTTCAATGTCCACCATTGATAGCTTTTTATTTGCTGTGTCATGACCCTAGCAGAGCAAAAGGCAGCCCAACTCAACAACTGGAGAATACATCATTTAAGATGCAATGCATTCGGTCCAAAGTAGGCACATGATCCATGTTCACCTACTTTATTCCATAGAAAACACCACAGCATTTCAGGAAACACCACAGCGTTTCACAAAACGCCACAGGATTTCAGCAAACACCACAGCATTTCACAAAACACCACAGCGTTTCACAAAATGCTACAGCATTTCACAAAACATTACAGCATTTTCAGGAAACAACTGCTGAAATAAATATAAGAAAACTCAAGATATAAGATATTTTTTAAATGCTATACTGAAGTTTAGGTGTCACTGCCAGCAGATCTGCATTACAGCATTACATTTTAAATTAATTCAGGTAACATACTATGTCTTTCAACCCAAAAAGGATTTAATTAAAGTTTGTGTCAGTGAAAAATACTAAGTATCTCATTGTTAAAAACCTGCATGCTTAAAGGCTTTTCCACCTCTGGCAAGAGCCCCAATTGTGAGGTCGTCTCTGAAAACACTTTGAAGCCAAACTAGTCAAATCTAAAAGGAATGAATACTGAAAATATAATATTGTCCATCATCGGCTAGATTTAAAGAATAGAAGTAGTGCCATCGGCATGCAAACTCATTAATACAAAAACTCTTTAAATGTTTTATACATGTGTCACATGTGTAACCACATTCAATAATTAAGGCTGTGGCATCCATTACTGTGACTGTTGCTATTTTGATAATGCGCTGCATCTTACACTGTGTAATAATCTGGCGCGCTCTGGCATTAATACTGTAGTTATTCATTTATACTGTTCATTTCAACCTACATTCTTATTAATACTGTAGTTATTTATTTACTGTGCATTTAAACTTGCGTTTGTATTCATATTATAGTTATTAATTTATATTAAACATGTCAAACTTATATATATATATATATATATATGTATTATTATAACGGTTCTAGTTTTTTCATGCAACTAATTTAATCATGAATCCCATTTTTTCCGCATTTTTTATTACAATATAAATGCAAGTATTATTATTATGTAATATGTATATATAGATTTATTTAAGATATTTTTCTATTTCTGTTTTAACATATTTGTATCATTGTAGTATAGTATATTTTTACCGTTTTATATTTTTATTTGTATCTGTTTCTGTTTGTTATTTTTAACATAACCCAATTTCCCCCGGGTATCAATAAATTATTCCTGATCTTGCACCTACTGTACTGCAT